TTCACCACTGCTCTCTTCTAGAGAACCCTTGCCATTCATAGAGATGCTACTGGCCAGATGGGCAAAATAATCTAGATGTGTCTGGCTCTAGAATAGGGATGGTGAACCTGTGAGCTTCCAGATGTTGTTGGACTCCAACTCCTATCATGCCTAGCCAACGTGGGCAGTGGTCAGTAACATCTGGAGGGCATAGGTTGCCCAGCTCTGCCCTGGAACATATGAAACAACAGTAAAGAAGACTTACTCTGGTTACATGTGGAATTCACTTGCCCCACCATTGACTAACTATGACTTTTCTGCGCCATTAGGATATGGAAGTGGGGGAGGTTTTACATTTACTTTCATTTTCATTATTAGAGACCTTGCTTGTTTCACTGCTCGGGCATTAGAAGCACATTCATTTCATTACCCACATTTGTTTTTGTTTCCATATATAAATTTTATAAAACAATTTATGAAATAAATAAAATTAATTCACGGGTGTCATGTGTTTTTTTTAACTTTCCCTGAGCTAATTTCAGAAGGCCGTTGAATCATGTGGTGGGCTTTCCTGGGAAAAATAAAAGGACTGTTGCCAGGATGAAGCCACCAAGAGGACCTACAGTGTTCCCTGAAAAGCGTCTGGGTGATAAATAGGTAACAAAAGCAAATTCAATTTGTTTTCATTTCTTCCTGATAGTGTTTTGTAATTAATAAAAATTGAACTGAGTAGAGGAAAGGATGCCTATTATCAGTGACCAAACAAGGGTTTCTGTCTTGTATGCAGAGTTACTCTGGCAAGAAATGTAAAATTAACAATTAGAAGAAGATTACTTCTGCCTGTGGACAAAACTTTTTCTCCTTATTGTCTGCTTAGTGGAACTGAAGTGAGACAATCAGATTAAGGGCTTCGTTCATTTACACTTTTTCTGATTAATCCCTCCTCTTCCTGATTATTATTGACAACATCAGAGTGTACAATAACCTTAACCTGCTTAGCTTTCATGAATATAAATGTCTCTGTCCATCAATCACATTTGCATTTGCAAAATGTCCTTCGTACAAGGACTTAGGAACTGGAAGGCAATCAATAAACATAACATTGGTTAGTCTTGATTCAATGAAAAAATGACCAGCAGGTATTTCAGAATGCATGCCTTCGGACTAACACACACACCTATAGTTTGTGTGTGTGTGAAAATAAAAAAAGTGGGTCAGTGTGAATTGGAATGTCAGCAGATGAAGCATTCATTCAAAGTGGTTCACTGTGAACCTTGATCCGGCAAATGGCTATGTAGAGCAAATAAAAATCCCTCAGGCTCAACATTGCCTTAACAGTTCTGCCAAACTCTTATACGATTCCCTGAAAACACTGTTTGTTATGAAATGTCAGTGTTTCCCAGACTTCTGATGCACCCTTTTCCCTATACAGTGGTACCTCGGGTTAAGTACTTAATTCGTTCCGGAGGTCCGTTCTTAACCTGAAACTGTTCTTAACCTGAAGCACCACTTTAGCTAATGATGCCTCCCGCAAGCAAAGTTCTTAACCTGAAGCGTCTGTAACCTGAAGCGTATGTAACCCGAGGTACCACTGTATTAACATGAGATGCACATTTGAAGGCTTGGAGTGTGCAGAATGATGCACTACCTGCCCTCAGACAGAGGAGCCATCTGTTTTGTGTGAGTCTCTACTGTGATGTATATCTGGACTGGAAGCAATTGAATGATCCAGTCCTCACACCAGATACAGGAACATCCTATCCCCTGCTGAAGACTGATTGGAAACAGCCTGGTTCACACAGTTTCCATGAGGGGCAGGGCAGGGCGGGAGGAGAAAACCATTTATACCTCCCTGGATCCCTTGTGCTAAATAGAGAGGTGCCTTATTTGAAGTCAGACTATTTGTTGTCCACTTAGCCCAGTGTTGTCTATTATGACCTCCAGCAGCTTCCCCCCATCACCTACTTCCTGATTCTTTTAACTCAGGGTTGGGGAATGTGTGGCTCTCAGGATATAGTTGGACTCCAACTCCCATCAGTCCCAGATAACATGGCCACAGTCAGGTATGATGGGAACTGTAATCCAACAACCTCTGAAGTGTTAGCAGAGTAGCTAAATTGCAGCTAGGAAGCCAACAGCCTTGTGCAATATTGACTCTTCTTGAGATTAAAACAATGCCCAAACACTTGTTAAAACATTCAAAAAACCTTTCCTTGCAGAACATATGACTAAAGAAGAATATATGCAAAGTATCTGCATTCACATCCTTATGCAAGCATGGGCTTATTTTTTCTTAGTTGATGATTACAGCTTCTTCCTTAAACCTTGAAACAAATGGAATAGGATACCTCCCATGTGACCAAATTTAACCAATCACACGAGAGTTACTGGAGAAAAATACAGAATTAAACACATAGTAATGCCTAGGACTTGCTGATCAGAAGGTCGGTAGTTCGAATCCCTGTGACGGGGTGAGCTCCCGTTGCTTGGTCCCTGCTACTGCCCACCTAGCAGTTCGAAAGCATGTCAAAGTGCAAGTAGATAAATAGGTACTGCTCTGGTGGGAAGGTAAATGGCGTTTCCGGGCGCTGCTCTGGTTCGCCAGAAGCGGCTTAGTCATGCTGGCCACATGACCCGGAAGCTGTACGCCGGCTCCCTCGGCCAATAAAATGAGATGAGCACTGCAACCCCAGAGTCGGTCACGACTGGACCTAATGGTCAGGGGTCCCTTTACCTTTACCTTTTTTATGCATTTAAGCATTCTCAGTTTCAGTAAATTAAATTGCTGTACTTAACATGGAGGGCCTCAGGTTCCCCATCCCTGGAATTACCAGAGACCGAATTTGGGATCTTCTGCAGGAAAGCGTTTACCACTGAAGTAGGTTCTTTCATCAAACTAGGAAGCACTTGCTTTTGTGAGGATGGATTATGACACACAGTTTCAGAATGGGTGCAGTATACCAGTACCACTCAGCTTATTTTTCAATGTTGCATCCATTCACGGTGAAGAGCCTTCCCAGTGGATAATGCAACATGCATTCTCATTCACTCTTGGGTGGTTCCAGGAAAGAATTCACAAAAACAAAGAGACAGTTATTGCTTAAGTCTAGCTTGACACCCTGACCTTAGCTGGGACTGCTGTGCCAACAAACAGAAATAAAAAGGTGCAAATTAAAACCAATTATTATCAACCTGAAGTGTGAGATGGAACTGTGAAATTCCTGGCTTTTATCAGCAAAACCCTCTGTGCTTTCCTAATAGCAAACTGTTTGGCAGCCAAAGACATTTGTAACATAAATAGTAAAAAGTTTCCTTTGTTTCTTTCCTTTTGTGCGGGGATGGAGAGAAGAGGAATTAGCCATTTAATTATTTAAAGAGCGTGGGAGAAGCAAAAAGACTGACAAAAAAAGAGAGAGTGCTACTGTTTAAATTAGCAATTAGGAACTTCTCAGAGTATATATTTTAAAGAGAGAATATGCAAGCAGCATAATGTGCTTTTGAAGGTCTTGGCCTTTCTTAATTTAGCATATGATATATAGAAGCTGTAGAGCTCCGTCTTGCTTCTGCATTGGTTTCAGGATGCTGGAAGGCAGCAGACTGAGAATCAAAACAAAACAAAACAAACAAACCCACAAGATATGGGAAGAAGTAAAAGAACAAAGATATTAAAAAGCTTGGTGAGAAACGAAGTGAAATGATGGTTTGGGCAAAATGACAAGGTGTTGAGGACAACCAGGGATGGAAGCGAAATATTCATGTATAACAGAGTAAGAGAACATTTTTCATCCATCTTTATAGCATGTCCTGGAGTTGTGATCGTATGGAGAAAACTCCTATATATACAGAGACTCATTTGGCTTGAGGGAGCCATTTGGGGCACCCATTTCTTTACACTGCTGCAACATGCACCTAACTCTGGAACAGGGCTGCTCTCTGAATCAAGAAATGCACTTAGGGTTCTGTTTTGTTTTCTGTTTTCAGATGTCACGTCACGAACAATGAATGTCCTTTCCCAACCGCAACAGCCCATTAAAATCTGATTTAATTAATATCCCACTGTAAATAAAACATGTTGATCAATCAAAGTCTCTTTCAGATCTAAGATGGTGGCATGGTCATGATCTGGACTATAAGATAATTATTCCCCTCCCCATCCCGAGCATCTCTGCGGATGCAAAGGTATGTCTAAGGTCTCTTTCTTGTTCAGGATCATTCAAGCATGGAAAGAGTGGATACAGAGAAGTTTTTCTTCCCTTCTCATAATACTAGGACCTGCGACCATGCAATGATACTGAATGTTGGAAGTTTCAGGACAGACAAACGGAAGTATTTATTCACATAACACATAGTTACACTATGGAATTCGCAACCACAAATAGTAATGGCCACCAGCTTTGACGGCTATAAAAGGAGCTTAGACAAAGTCCTAGAGGATAAAGCTATCAATGGCTATTAGTTCTTTTTCTACTTGTAGTGTTACAGATAGAAAGCTTCTGAATACCAGTTAATGGGATGCCACAAGTGGGGAAAGCACTGTTGCCCTAAGGTTCTGCTTGTAGCCTTCCCAAGGAGGAGGAGTTTGGATTTGATATCCCGCCTTTCACTCCCTTTAAGGAGTCTCAAAGCGGCTAACATTCTCCTTTCCCTTCCTCCCCCACAACAAACACTCTGTGAGGTGAGTGGGGCTGAGAGACTTCAGAGAAGTGTGACTGGCCCAAGGTCACCCAGCAGCTGCATGTGGAGGAGCGGAGACGCGAACCCGGTTCCCCAGATTACGAGACTACCACTCTTAACCACTACACTACACTGGCTCTTTTTTTCAGCCACTGTAAGAATTCAGGTTCCTATTAAAGGATTGGGCCCATTCTCCTCTGGCCCCCTTCTACATTTCTGTAGACCTGTTGTAATTATTTGAAGATTTTCTGGTGTTTGAGTGTCAGATAATTAGAAATGAGGTGAGAAAATGCAGAGGGGACTTTGAAATCCTTTTGTGCTGCCTGCACTCCAGCAGAGCTGTGCCATTTTTTGGGGGGGGGGTTTAAGCCTTTGTAATTTCATTCCTCTTATTCAAATGATCCCATAAGCCACTTTTAAGAAATGGTTCAAATGTCAAAATTTGGAGCAGATCCATAGGGTGCCTGTAACAAATTTGGGCAAATGGAAAAGGCTGTTTTGCAGGGTGAGGAGTAGGGAGTACAGACTGTTAATCAAGAGGATGGAAAAGATTTGTTGCAAAGTTATTAGAAATCAGCCCTCCGACCTAAACCTACTTGAACTTTATTCTGGACATTTTAACGGTGATAACAATGTTGAGGCAACTTCTGTCTTGGCTTGCTGCCAAGCCCATCCACATCGTCTGCAAATAAGGTGAAGCTTGCCTGACACACAAGTAGCAGCAGTTGGTTGAACAAAAGTGTAAAGATTTGTTTTAAAAGGCAAAAATGGGCTGTACTGAAACACTTTTTAAAAAAAAATAAAAATAAAATCATCTTGGTTATTCACTTGGCAATGTCTTGTGAACTTTGCGTTTGCAGGCTCTTTCCCAACTTTAAAGAACATTTTTTACCTTCTTCATTCCAGTGATGGTCAAGACCTGGGCTGTCACCAAGGAATGCTGCTTCAATGCCAGTCTCCCTTCTGAATAGCAGGGCTGAGCCTATAATGAAGTGGAATGAGACATTCGTCTCAAGTGACAGGCATAGGAGTGGAAGATTAGTGTCCCCTTGTTCCCCCCAACACATACTGCTATGCAGCAGGGGTACCATGAGTTTCATGGCACCCTTGAGGTCTTCTCCTAGCACTCACGAAGCCTGTGAGCCCAGCCACTCACTGCCCTCTTGGTCATGAACTGGTGATGGTGCTTGCTCTGAGGGACAGTTCAGTCGGTAGAGCATGAGATTCCTAATCTCAGTGTTGTGGGTTCAAGCTGGGTGAAAGATTCCTGCATTGCAGGGGGTTGGACTAAAAGATCCTTGTGGTTCCCTTCAACTATACAATTCTATGATCCTTTCATCCCTTGAAAAGTAGAGTTGAAGGAGGCAACGGAAAGAATGGTCATCTCCATTTCTTCTTTCAGCTCTATGTGCCCATGGACCTAGAAAACCTGATGCCCCCTTATATACACAATATCTATACACATACAGGTAAAGGACAAGGTGCCCCTCCCCCCCCCCCAAAATGCAAAAGTCAAAAGTACAGGCAGTTGAATCTTACTTTAACACTTAGGGTGGAACATCAGCCTTCAGTGCACCTTAGGGCAGCATACTAGTTTAGTGGGTTCTGGGGGAGTTAGTAGGTTGCTGCTGCTCTTGGCTGTGCCATCAGAAGCTGCCATTTGAGGTAGCCACCTTGTAGTCTAATGGTAGAGCCGGCCCTGAGAGAGACACCTACAACCTTCTCCCAGAAAGATTCTTTATCATAGGCAGGGGAGAGCATTCAAACGCGCAGGCCTTCAACTACAGTCTGAAATCGTGTAGCCTAGCAAAAATACCGCCCCATGTGACTGCTCTGATAATTGGTTTATCTGCTCTAGAAGTGCAGGAGTACGATAAACCAGTTGTTTTCAGCATAGGTCTTTAATATTTTACTCCTCCTGTCATGAAGCAAATAAACAAAGATGACTCGAATATGATAATAAAATGAATTCAGAATGCACAGATGCACAAACAATTTACATAAGCAGAATGGGAAAATAAATCCTGAATTCAAGCAAACAAAATACTCCAGAGAAATATAAAGTGGCAGTGTGTGTGTGTGTTTGTGTGTATACACATAGTACATTTGAAATATAACTCAGTATGAACACTGAAAAAGTAATTAAATATGGCCTATTTTGTATGCTGAACCAGAAATGTTGGCTTTTCAAAATTGAAAAGAGGATGTAATGGTTTGCTGAACAGCACCTGTGGACACTGAAGAGTGTGGCCTGTTCTGTGAAAGGAAATGGTCAAATGTGTATGGGGAGAGAAAAACAAAAGGAAGGCTTATTGCTGTAACTAATATGCAACCACAGGACCACCGTGCCAGAGGTAACACACACAAAAAAATTACAAGGACACTGAGCAAATTTGTTAGCTACACCAGCTCAAAGTTATTTATTACCAGTGTTTTCTGAAATCTTGGCCAAAAGCACTTAAGGCACATATTTCAGTCTCTAGTTAGGTGGTCCTGGAAGCTCAGCTTCACATTTGGAGTTATGAAAAAAATATATATATGCAAGAGGACAGAGCAAAACAAACAGATACCACAAAAGAAAGGCATGGATATTATGTTTTGCTCGGTCCTCTTGTTTAGAGAAATAAGCATATTTGCACTTTAAAAACTGGCCTGGCCTGGCCTGTTTCCAAAATGTAATAGCATTCTGGTGACTCAGCATATGTCATTATGCAATCTGCTTTCTTTCTCCTGCTAATCCTTGAGTCGTCAGAGTTAGGAATGGTGCCTTGGAAAGGAAAAGAGGTTCCTTTCCCCCTGAAAAGTGAAGCTGCGGCTGTACCTTAAGACTTAATCCTGTGAGCTACTTTTCAACAGCACCAGCTCATAGGATCCTGCGTAAAGAGAATCCTGCTACTGGCACAAAGGCATGATTTGCACCGCTTCCCCGGTGCTGGGAACTGATCCAGGCATTTCCCCAGCTGCTGTGCTGCACACGGAGCTTACTTTGGCTTTTGTTAAATCCAGGGAATTTTGCAGTGGCCTCTCACACAACACCCCGAGAGCCTATATTGTATGTAACATATATCAAAGGTACCAAGATGTCTCTGATTACCAGAATATAGCGTCCCGTTTAAAAGAGTACAGTTCCCTAGAATCCCATAGGATGGGTATTACATACACACGCCAGACAGCTGCAGCTCGTTTTACCTTGTTTATCTTTGAAATCTAAATGTACTAGAACAAAACCAGAAAAGGCAAACCTGCAATCTGGAATATTGCCTCTGATTATTGTTTTCATAATGCTCTAACAGCTGGGACAACTTTCTTCAGGAGCTCCAGGGCATATACAGAGCTCATTTTTGCAAGAAAAGGCCTCTCGTTCACTTCAGAGTCAAGACAGTGTTGCTTGCATGCAAGCTCCATGCACAACATGATTTCCTCAGCGAACCACTGGAACAGGAATTGTCATATGCAAATACCAGTATATTTTCGGTTCTTTCGTTGCAGGGGGAAGAGGAGCCACTGACTATTGAAGCCATGCTGCCACAGGGTTCAACCCCTGGCTCCTCTCAATGTCCTGACATCATGGTATGACATCATGCATTGCTTGAACAACACCCCCCCCCCCGTCTCCCTCGCAAGTTGGTGCTTCTACAGCGATCTTACGGTAGGCAAATACATTCCTTTTCTCCCCAGGCTTTTGGCTAACTAATCAATCTACAGCCTTTTAAACTGTGGGGTGGGATATTGTTTTCGTCATTATGTTGCACATTTTTGTGTTTTTATATTGTAAACCGCCCTGCGATCCTCGGGTGGTGGGCAGTAGAGAAATTGAATAAATAAAATTATGTGCAGGTTGCACCGATGTGTAAATAAAACCATTTATCCGAAAGGCACCACAGTCTGCAGTGACCTTAATTCCAAGGAAACCCTGGCTAAGCGCCGAAACCCCAAAATCTCTCACCGCTCAGAGATTGGGCTGCATGCACCAGAGTGCCCACATTAATGACATCTTTAAGGAGCACCTCACCACCTTACCAAAAGGCAAAAATAAGGACAGTATATTTCTAGAATAAGGTGAATAGGAACAGCTTAAGCATATGGAATAGCAAGGAATAAATGTGCTTGGGCTCTGTAGAACATTTAACTGCTCATTATCTCTCTCCTTTTTTCACACACATACACACACACACACACACACACACCTTTTCCAATTTGCACTTATGTTCACAGGATCTGCTTTTTCATCTTACAACAAATGATGGCTTCTGGAACCAAGATTAAAACAAGTACCAGCAAGTGGAAAGTCTCCTAATGAGGCCTAATTGTTATTTAACTGAAAACCTATGTATAACCTATTCCCTGTCCCCACCCCCACCCCCCAAAAAGATCATTTAATTCCACAAAACATTAATTACATCCTGTCATACAAATGTCTACAAGATACACGCTGCTGCAAAAAGGAATTAAATAAGAGCCATGTTAACAAGGTTTTAAAAAAGTGCTTTCTGTTTCCACCCACCTACTCACTCGCCCCCCCCCCACCTTTGAAAACACTCAATTTGGAAATACAGCTTTGCTAGGATTTACATACGCAGGTCTGGCAACTCTGTCATATTTACTGGAAGCATGACAAATGAAATGTTGAGTTTCTCTCGCAGAAAGGAAATTGTTTGCAAACATAGCTGCTCCAGGGAAATGAACAATTTCCATCTCCCTGGGCTGATACAAGGTGATCTGAGTAGACTAAGACTGCTCAGGTAATTAAACTGGACCAAATTAACAGCAGGATTAACAGCCCGTGGGCTGTATCCAGCTAAATGATATCTAGAACAGACTCACGGCAATTAATAGACCTAAGTTAGTCATGTCCACTAATTTTAATGGGTTTACTCTGAGTAGGATTAACATTGGCTAGGATCCCATGATTTCAGCAACCCACAGCTTCTTGCATATTGCATTTAGGGTGGTTTCTTCACATACCTAGAAATGGGCTCTGGCTTCATATACCATAGGGGTGATATTACATATTTTATATATATCACCACAACCCTCAGCTTCAGAAAGACAAAATTCAAAACTTGGTTGCATATGGGGGGGGGGATTTGCGGAGCTGCTACAAGGTGTGGCTTGCAGGAGGGTGCTTATGTTGTGAGAGAAAAATGACTTATCTTCTCAGTTTACGCCAATAAAACTCAGAGACAAGAGGAGTTAGGAGTCCATTGTTTATTGCTAGGCAATAGGTTATAGTCGAATTGTTTCGCAAAACTGCAACCCCGCCCAAGGGTCCTGGCGGTGGTATTTATAACATTTCAAACAAAGGATTTCAATTTTCACCAATCATCTACATCATTACCTCATTCATGTTTAATACACATGTGCAATAAGCGTTAGCAATTTCTGCTGATTCAGCTCTGATTCCCAGCACTTTCTGTTAAACTTCTAATTTCTGTTACATTGTGTTAGTATGCATGTTGGGAACCTGTGTTACGCGTAGCCATTTGCACCATGTATCAATTTATGTTCTAGCTTATGAGCTGTATCTTTGCGATTCACATATTAGTTGTACTTCTGCCCCAATGGGGGGCAGCAACTTGCAAAATCATCAGTTTCATAAAGCAACAGGTTACCATAACTTCTCTATTAGAAGCACACTGAAGGATTTAGAGGGGTTCACATTATCATATTTATTGTGGCCCTTTGGGCCACCACCAGTGTTACACAAGACAGGGCTTTCACAGTGCTGGCCCCTCAACTTCCTTAGAGAAATATGATTGTTTCTGCCTTTAGTTCTGTTGGCACAAATGACTTCTGCACATGCGATGTAACTTCCTCTCCCTCTTCTGTCTCCTCCAGCTGCCCTGCGTGCAGTTCAAAGCCAGTTCTACTACTTTGGGGATCTTCTGGAGCATCCTTTGAGAGTGTGTAGAGGGAGGAGAGGAAACTGAAGCCCTGTTGCTCCAGTGGAACCTTGTTGGCACAGCACGAGATACAACCCAATGTTTATAACTGGCCAGGTTAAACAAGAGACAATTATGATGACTCAGCCCTTCAGATTCTTAACTCCACAACCAGGGCAATCCAAGGGAGACTGTCTGGAAGCAGTTTCTCTAATTGTAGCTTGTTTAGTTTGACCATTTTAATGGCCAACCTAGTCTGACTTGGCTCCCTTTAGAGCTCTTGCACCTCGGAAACAGCTGAGCGGGCTGTCCTTTTCCCTTTGTTTTCGCTTTGTTTGGTGGACAAATTTCTGTCTGAATCAGATAATGCTTTTATTGCTTTCAGCAAGGATAATAAAATAGTACAAAGTTAAGGCATAAATGGCAGAATACTGTTATAGAGTCATGCAGAATCCCCACCAGCTAGGAATTGGACCTTTGAATATCTTGCCAGCTACAGGTTTTGAGGTATTTGGAAAAGTGGCCCTTCCTGACTGGGCCCAACACACAGTGAGTTTGGGGGATTTCGCTTGTTTTTACTGAGTTTTCTAAATTATTGATTTGCTAGCCACATCAAGTCTGTTCAGAGGTGGCACAGAATATTTTAAATAATAAAGAAAGAAAGAAAAATAACTTTGTGCAGCTGCCCAATTTCTTGCCCTCTCCATTTCAGCCCAACTCACAGAGAACGACCTGTTATTCACAGTGTTTCTGGCTCCTGCAGAATTTAACACGTCCTTTAAGGTCCCCTGCTACTGATGCTTCCCATCCTGTGATTTGCAAAGGCTGTTAACATAATAGGAACCAGTTGTGAAATTGGATGGGTAGAGAATTAACACTAACAGCCCATTTCTATGCGAATTGACTGAAAGTAAATTCCACTGCGTTCCATGGGACTTACTTACTCCTCTCCCTTGCTTTTAGCTGCTGAGATATGTTTTAGGCTCTACCTTTCTTCTCCGTTTTAAATAGAAATTTTTGTGTTGTTTTGTGGCTTTGTTTTATTTGATTCTCAACTGTACCACTGTTTTGTTGTAATCTGCCCAGGGCCTTTATGATGAAGGGTAGGTAATAAGCCCTATAAATAAATAACAAATAATAAGTGAGCAAAGGGTTGCACACTTGACGAGGAAAAACATTTTAGCTGTAAGGACATAAGATGAGTCTGCAGGATCAGGCCAGTGGCATCCTGTTCTCACAGTGGCCAATCAGATACCTGTGGGAAGCCTGCAAGCAGGACCTGGGTGCAACAGCACTCCCCACCATCACCACTTCTGATTCCCAACAACTGGTATTCAGAAACATACTGCCATCAACAGTGAAACATAACCATCAAGGTTAGTAGCCACTGATAGCCTTGTCTTCCACAAATGTCTTTTAAAGCCATCCAAGATGGCGGTCATCCCTGCCTCTCATGGCAGCAAATCCAATAATTTAACTATGCACTGTATGAAAAGCTATTTTTCCTTTGTCTGCCCTGTTTTTATCCTCCACCATTCTGCTTCACTGGATGTCCCCGAGATCTCGTGTCACGCGAGAAGGAGAAAAAACTTCTCTTTGTCCAATTTCTCCATATAGAGCCTTATTTTGTACACCATTCGTTACTCAGCTTAGAGGTAGGAGTGGGGCAGAGATAAATTAAGCCTGTATAAAGCGATGCTACCACTGCTCTGGGAGCCCAAAGGAAAACAAATAGCTTGCATATCATTGACATGTTGTGGCTCTCCACCTGGATGCTCTTGAAACTATTTCAGGTTCACTAGAAAGTATTCCTAGGGGTGACAGAAATCAGAACAGCAACCTATTCCGTTTCAGGAACTTTCAGCTCGACTTAATTAAACACAGGTGCAGGCAAGATACAACAATGCCCCATCTTGTGCATGTTCCTAAGCACTTCCCAGCATTCGAATAAATCTATGTTCAAAATGCCTTCAGAATTATTTGATGGGGAAATGTCACGCTGGGAAAAGGAATCGTCTGAAAAGGTATGCACAAAATATGTGTATCTCTTCCCTAGGGGATATCTTCGCCTGATGCTCATTACCTGATTTGTTTCCCGGCGATGAACTCCCAATTCACCGAGGCTGTCCTCTGAGCATGTGCAACAGCTGCCTGAAATGTACACACCACAGCTTAACTGCTGCCTCCTTTTGCAATTGGATGGAAGTTGATATGAGGGAAAGCGCAACAAGCAAGAGTTCTTCTCAAGAATCTACAGGATACCTATGAATTGTGGCTAATGTCATGTGTTGAACACCAGGGGGGGGGGGGAGCCAGAGTAACCGGGAACAGGTACACAGCCAGGAATATAATAATTGCCCTGCCAGAACGTATCAAGAGTTAGTCTATTCCAGTACTCCAGCAGTGGCCAGTTATATGCTGGGGAAAGCTCACAGACAGGGCATATTTACCCCCAATATCCAGCACAGAAAGGTATAATGCTCTAATCATGAATGCTCCATTTGGCGTGTCATGGCTAATATTATTTGATAGATCTGTCTTCTGCTGCATCCCAGGCCGTTTTGGCAATATGTGATTCTGGAAAATCACATGGCATGCTTTAGACCCTCCCATATGAACTGCCTGATTCTGATGTTATCAGACAGATGAGCATGGGCAAGGATGTGGATCAACAACCGCCCCACTTCTGAAAAGTAAGAATTGAAGGGTGTCCATCCAAGGCTGCTATGAGATGTTTTATGTACAGGAAGAAAGACAATAAAACATCTGGAGTCAGATTACACAGGCTGCTTAGTCTTTTTGAAAGTACATTTTCATCAAGACGTTATTGTTTTTTACTATCAGCATAAATATTTCTTTATCCTGCAACTGCTAATTATATCAACATAAACTTAATTTGTAGTGATAATCACAGGGCTAATTTTGTACTGCTGCCAAACCTCATAACCAACACTTTGAGGCATCATGTAAATCCAGCCATTAGCAATCACGTAAATGCTCCCATTACCCATTACTGATATTGGCTAAAGAACTTTTTAATTGACTTCTTAAAATTTATGGCAGATGGTGCAGCCTGTGAGCTCGGATCCAGAGAGCTTTTTTTCATTATTCTTTGGCTTGTAAGTGTTAGGATGCCAGACATTGCATGTTGCACAATGCAATGTTTTAGGCTCAACACAAAATGAGACTTTGGAATCGGTAATACGAATCTGTAGCATGTGAAACAGAACCTCTTACCATCGGCACTCTGTTTTAAAAAACATTAATGCAGAACATAGTATGGATGAAATACATCTCACAGCTCTCTATCGGAATAAACACGACTAGTTTGTTGGCTTGGGAATGCTTTGCACAAAACCTCATTTAAAGATTATGAGATGTTCTTCTGATCATTGCCACAACACCTTTACTCACTTACATCTGGCTCCATGAGTCAAGTTGTCTCCTTATTTCCCCACACACACTCCCTCCCCCCACATTCCAGAGGCATAAACGGGATGAAGGACCCCTTTGTGCTGCATTAGCTTCCAATACGGTTTTGCACACTTTCCCTTGGCACCAGGATAATTGGCTTCAGGCACACATACACAATGAGGCCAGGCAAGCCGAGAAAGGCGAGCTGATGCCGGAAAACAAGGCTGTGCTGCAACCAAGTTACTGCTATTTCCCGCCCGCCTGGTAAATGGATTAAAATGCAAGTTTTTAGTCGGAAATATTTTGAGATGTGGTATATGTACCCATGCATGGGTTGTGCAAAATAGCTGCCAGTTGCACCCTTCAAGGGTATAGGGAATTGGCCATAGGAGGGGAGAGCCAGTTGGAGTGTTATTAGACTGGGAGTGGGATGCTCTAGGTTCAAATTCCTTTGCGGCCACAACGCGCAATGATTGAGCCATTGGTTAGGCCATTGCCATCTCTCGGCTTAACCTACCACACAGTATGGACACAATGTGGCAGGAGGAAGAACCCACCAACTTCACCTTGAAGTCCTTGGAGGAAGGTTGAGGTAAACATGTAATACATAAAGTTATTCAGGTTAATTCTGACTTGGTTATTTTTTATAAGCATGTTGACTAAGAATTCTGGCCTCATGAAGCATGGACACCCTGAGTGGCATCAGGCAAGTCATTAGCTCTCACCCTCACTAAAGTGACTAATTTTGCAGTGACTAACTTTGCGAGGATTACTTATCAATGTACACAAAGCTCTTTGGGTTTTCAACGTGCTCTTGTTTTATTTTTACACCACCAGGGGTACCCATCTCGCCCTAAGGATCGTGGGAGCCTGCAGCTGCAACATGGACGTGCAGCATCACATGGTGCATGTGATGTCACTTCCTGCCTCATCAGGATTCCCATTATCTGGGACTAGAGCTACAATCCTGAATTCAGTTAATGGGGAGCAAATCCCACTGGACACATGGGGGCTTACTACTGAGTAAATATGCTTAGAAGTGTGCTGTAAATATGACAGTAAAATAATGCTCTGAACAAACAAAAAATGGGCATTTTCAGAGAACCTATTGAGCACCTTGATTTGTTTGCAAGGAGGCTTTGTTGTTGTTTAGTCGTTTAGTCGTGTCCGACTCTTTGTGACCCCATGGACCAGAGCACGCCAGGCACTTCTGTCCTCCACTGCCTCCCACAGTTTGATCAAATTCATGCTGGTAGCTTCAAGAACACCATCCAACCATTGCAAGGAGGCTAGACAATGTTAAATAATAATATACATAATATACCATAATATAAAAACACAGTGAGACAGCA